AAGTGGATGGCATACCTGTTTGAGGGCAGTTGCAGTCACAACCCTCCTGGTCAAGGAGACAGATAAACTCGGCCTGGGACAGGACCTGGTCATCACCACACCCCATGTGGTGGAGACACTGCTGAGAGAAGCCCCAGAACGATGAGTCTCCAATGCCCGCCTGACTCAGTATCAGGCCCTGTTGCTGGATGCTCCATGCATCAAATTCACCCTAGAAATGGCCCTTAATCCAGCCACCTTACTCCCAGACTCTGACCTGCACACACCCCTCCATGACTGTCTGGACTCTCTGACAACTTCCATCACCAACCTCCCAGACCTGACTGACATTCCCTTGCAACTCCCAGATGAGACCTTCTTCACCGATGGTAACAGTTTTATGGAAGATGGAGTCAGGTACGTGGGGGCAGCCATAGTCAGTCCAGAAGGACAAGTTCATTGGACACAAGCATTAAGCCGGGGGACATCGGCACAGAGGGCTGAACTAATAGCCTTAATTCAAGCCCTAAAGTTAGGTCGAGACAAGGCTGTAAACATCTACACTGACAGCCGGTATGCATTCGCCACTGCCCATGTGCATGGCGACATCTACAGGCAGAGAGGGTTATTGACATCAGAAGGAAAAACTCAAAAATAAAGAAAAAATTTTGGCCTTATTGGAGGGAATTTGGGAACCCAGGGCGTTGGCCATTATTCATTGCAAAAGCCACCAAAAAAGAGACAGCTTCGAGGCCCGCGGTAACCGAGAGGCCGATGATGCAGCCCAATGAGTGGCCAGAGAACCAGTGGGGCCAATAAACATTGTGCCCACCTGACCCTTTGGCTACCTGCCAAAAAGACCGACATATATCCCAAAAGAGAAAAAAAAAAAAAAACTCCAAAAGTGAGGGGGTACAAAACTGAACTCAAGCTGGGGGAAAGGGACAAACGAACGAATTTGTCTCCCCCAAGCCCTGGGGTGACAACTTGTTCATCAGTTACATCACTTAACTCACCTGGGAAAATCAAAGTTAAAAAGACTAATGAGCTCTAAGTTTTCAATCCCAGGACTGACCTCTATGGTCCAGGACATCAGTTCCAGGTGTCAGGTGTGTGCACAAGTAAACTCCAAGATGAGACCAAAGAGCAAAGGTAATTGACTATGGGGAAGAGAGCCAGGGGAACATTGGAAACTTGATTTCACCAAAATAAAATCCAGCAATAGGTCCAAATATTTACTGGTATTGGTTGACACCTACGCAGGTTGGGGAAAAGCTTTGCCCACTCCTGGAAAATCAGCCAACATAGTAACTAAGGTTTTGCTCCAAGAGATAGTTCCCCGATTTGGCATCCCTCGTTACCTGGGGTCCGACAATGGGCCTGCCTTCCCATCACAGATATCCAAATTGTTGACAAAGGCACTACATATCGATGAGAAGTTACACTGTGCCTATCGCCCACAAAGTTCAGGGCAAGTGGAAAGGATAAATAAAACCCTGGAAGAAACCCTGACTAAATATGTTCTAGAAACTGGCAGTAAGTGGCCCGATCTGCTTCCTCTAGCCTTGTTAAGAGTTAGATGTGCCCCACATGTTGACAAGTTTACCCCTTTTGAAATCTTGTATGGGAGGCTCCCGCCACTCCTCCCTAAGTTAAACCTTGAACAGATAACAGAAAATTCTTGTGTTTCTTTACTTCAGTCTCTTCAAGCCTTACAGATTCTTCAGAGTGAGATCCAGGCTACGCTACAACAGGCTCTAGAAAAACCCTTTGCGATGTTCCAGCCCCACTGTTTCAAGCCAGGAGACCTGGTCCTGATATGCCAACATCAGACTAAGAGCCTCAAGCAGCGTTGGAAGGGGCCATTCCTTGTTATTTTGGTAACCCCCTCCGCAGTCAAAGTAGCCAGGGTCACAGCTTGGATTCATTACACCCAGGTCAAGTCAGCACCAGCAGAGAGCCCAGGGCCAGCACAAGGGAAGATCCTAAGTGCCCCAGGAGACTTAAAGTTAAAATTGGGAAAAGAGGATTAGTACTCTTGGTATCTACTCTCTATCAATCATGTCAGCTTGGGGGAACAAATTAACTTATTTCTTCCCCGTTCAGAAACTTGGGAATTAAGACTAACTTTTAGTGGAAAAATTCTGGCAAGAATAGAAAGAGGACCTGACCAATCCGAGGTCACCTTTACTGCTAGCTTATGTCATATGGTTGAGGAGGCCTGGTATAATGGGAATGGGGGCTGTGCAAAATCTGGGTGCTGTACTCTCACTAAATGGGAACTCCATCCTGTCCAGTACTATGTATGTCCAGAAAATGAAGATCCACATCGTGATGGTAACGGCAATGACTATCATTGTGCCCAGTGGGGATGTGAGACTATAGCTCCTTGGCCCCTTCAAATTACAGATCCCTGGTTAAAAATGTCTCCCACCACCATATATCATGATAAACCCTGTGATACTGGCATATGTTACCCAATTACCATTACACCCCAAAGACTGAAAGATCCTGGGTGGGTAACTGGAAGGACATGGGGAATTAGATTACATGTATCTGGGTGGGATCCTGGGTCAGAATTTACCATCCAGTGAGGTCACCAGTGGGTTGAGTGACCTATGGGGCCCAGCAAGGACTTTGCTCTACCTATCCCCGTAGCAAGGCCTAAGCCTGTGCCCTCGCCTACTCAAAAACCAAAACCTCCACTCTTCCAGCTATATTACAAGATAAAACCCCCACCCCTGTGCTGGAAGTGTTGACGAGCATCCATTTACTCCTCAACAAATCCAGGCCTGAGGAGGCTAAACATTGTTGGCTCTGCCTTGACCCCAAGCCCCCATATTATCTGGGATTGGGGCTCATGGCTACGCCAGACTAGTCTCCCTCAACAGGTGGTGATTGAAGCCACCCTCGACTCAAGTTGGGGGACATCCAAGGAAAAGGAACCTGCCTAATAGGAACAAATTACAGTTTAGACACATTGCCTTATAGAGATCTATGTAATAATAGTTATAATAGTCACCCTGCCTCAGGCCCCTGTTACTACAATGCTCCAGAAGATGCTTGGTTTGCTTGCACCAAAGGCTTGACTAAATGCATTCCGAAATCAGTCTTGGTTACCCAATCTGCCACTTTATTTTGTGTCAACGCGTATGTTGTTCCACAAGTCTTGTATTATAATGAAAAAGGGGGCTGCGAACATCTGGGATTAACCACTGAACACTATAGGAGTAAACGGGCTGCCCCGTTTTAGTGCCCATTCTGGTGGGATTAGGAATAGCCAGGTCAGCGGCTATTGGAACTTACTCCCTGATCCTTCAGGACACAAATTTTAAAGCCCTAAGCCACCAAGTAGCCAGAGATTTGGGTCATCTGGAAGACTTGATCTCCAGATTAGAGAACCAGGTTGACTGCCTAGCTGAGATGGTCCTGCAAAATCAAAGGGGACTTGACCTCCTGTTCATGAAACAAAGAGGGTTATGTGTAGCCCTAAGAAAAACCTGTTGCTTCTATGCTAATCAGTCTGGTGTCATTAGAGATACCCTAGCTATGGTCAGGGAAAATTTAAAGACTAAATATCCTCAACACAAAGATCAAAATTGGTTTCAAAATCTATTTGACTGGTCCCCATGGTTAACTACCTTAGTTTCTGCTGTAGCAGGCCCCCTAGTTATCTTACTTCTGCTTTTGCTCATGGGACCTTGCATTATAACTGCTCTGACTAAATATGTTAGACAGAGGGTTGATGCAGTTAAACTGATGGTGTTGAGACAAAATTATGAGATTTTAGAAGACATTTTAGAAAAAAAATCCAAAAAGTAAATACAGAAATCAAAGACTTGGTTAAGTTACAAGAACCAGTTGGGAATGAAGAACCCTAGTTAGCAAGACAGACTCCATATTGCTGCTGCCCTTTAGGTGAACTCAGAAGGAGGAAGGTTAAAAACCTCCTCCCCTTAGAAAACCCCTTTAGAAATAACAATCAACTATTGTTTTACAAATGTTCTAACAGCAGGACGTTCCTCTTCTGTACCTTTTGCTTGCTTTGCTAGTTCTATCCCATGCGGGGTGTGTGGGGGGGTGCCTAGCAACTGTTGGCCTCAAAGGTGTATAACACATGTTTGTCTAACCCCAGTCGGGGCTCGAGTCAGATGCTCAGCTCAGGTCCCAGCCGATAATAAACTCCTGTGTGGATTTAATATCGGTCTCTGGTTGGTTCTTTCTCTCTGGGTCTAACAGTTAACATATACATACATATATATTTTTAAGTAAATTAACATTTGGAGGGAGGGAGGGGGATGTGAGGGGCGCGGATGGAAAGGGAATTAAGATGTGTTGTGTGCCCTGTATGCTGCACACATGGACTACAGTTAGGAAAGGAGACTATGGTCTTGGGAGAATTTTTTCCCAGTACTCTAGAGAACCAAAGTACACGGATAAGCTATGAACAAACAAAACAAAACACCACCCATGAAAGCAGTGCTCACTCCAATCTTCCCTCTGCTCAGCTGTAGGGTCTATCTTTGCTCAACCCATATCACATCACATAGCATCAACTGTGTTGTCTGCTTCACTGTCAAGATGTCCCACCCACACACTGCAGTCTGTATAAACTGGTTGGAAAATGAAAATAACTTAAAAAATAAATTATCTGGTTGGCGTGGTGGCAAACACCTGTCGTCGGGCCGCCGAGGCAGGAGGATCGCGAGTTCCAGGCCGCCCTGGGGAACTTCGTGAGTTCAAAATCAGCCTGGACCACATGGGACGCTGACTCAAAAACAAAACAAAAACAAAGGAAATCTGCTTTGATTACGAACACAATAACTATCAGTAGCTGTCACCCACGTAAACAGAGAGGTCTTGGACTCCTCCACAACTTCTATGAGGAGAAAGCAGTCCAGAGCCCAAGCCCGGGCGCCCAGCGGAGGACACTGCAGGGGACAGCGTACCGCAGAAGGCGACACGCCAGCCAGGGGCTGGGCTTCCGGCCCGCGGAACAGGAAGTCGGTCACGGTCGGAAAGCAGTTCCCCCCGTGAAGCTTTGCGATACTGTCGCGTCCCGTCGGCTCCGAGCCGTAAAAAGCGGCGCGGTGGCCCCGGCGGCGGAGGTGGCCGCGGTGCGGTGCGGTGCGATGGCGGACATAGAAGACCTCTTCGGCAGCGACGCGGACAGCGACGCGGAGCGCAAAGGTGGGGCCCAGGTCTCCGGCCGAGGGGCGCTCGGGGCGTGTGCGGGCCCGGCCGCGCCCCTTCTTCTTCAGGCGGGGCTCTCAGCGCCGGGAGCGCGCGGTAGTCGCAGGAGCCGCTGCGGGGGGGACGGGGACGGGGAAGGGGGCGCGCTCTGCACGGGAGCCCCGAGGAGCCTGGAGGCTGCGGTGCAGCACGGGGAGCAGGTGGGTCTCGGCTCAGGGAGGAGTCACGGAGGGCCTGCTGGTGGCTGGCTGGCTGGACTCAAGTTCACGGCGGGGCGGGGGCTGGGGGTAGAGGGAGGCAGGTGTGTTCGTGGTGGATGTTCCTGGAGACTGGAAGTATCCCGCGCTGGCACTGTGGATATGCAAGTTTGAAGTACAAAGAAGAGTTCTTGGAAGTGAGAAAGAGCCTTGCACCACGCTCAGAACTCTTGCAGCCCTCCAGGCTCAAAGCAGCGTATCTGTATACATTTTTTCCTTAGCTAAGTGCATTGTTGTGGTTCTTTCTTCTTTCTCTCCTCCATTTCCCTCAACTCCACTTTATTCATGATTTTCGGAGCTTAGTGAAAGGAGCACGGGGTGGAAGAGGTACAGAGTACTGCATTCTGGGGTATGGGCTTCTGCTGGATGGATGGCCAGGATAAACATGTTCCAGCTCCGTCCTTAGGTGTTGGGTGTATAATGATGAGAAGAACCACCCCCCAGCTTACACTGATGCATAGTGCATATCTGGTAAGTACTTGGATGGGTAGAAGAAGCATTTAGTGCGTTCCCATTGCAAATCCAGAGTATAGGGAAGTGATGTGTAGAAACTCTTGGTTTTCTGGGCCTTGTTTTTGTTTTTTAAAACCTCCTTATAAGCCTATTGCAGCTTTCTTCCATCTCACTGTTAGGTACATAGACTCTCTAAGGTTTGCTCCCAAATCTGTCCTACTGCACTTGAAGTTTGGTGTTGTTCCTGAAGGTGGTATGGATGTGACAGGGTAATTCTTTTTATTGTTTTTGGTTTTGCTTTTTTTTGTTTTGTTTTGAGACAGGGTCTTGTTTTGTAGTTTAGGCTGGCCCTGAACTCACTGTGTAGCCCAGGTTAGCCTTGAACTCAAGGCAATCCTCTTGCTTCTGCCTCCCAAGTGCTGGGATTACTGGTGTGCACCACCACACCTGGCAAGACATGGTAATTCTTGTTATGCCTGGCATATTTCATTATCTCCCTGGGCTGTGAGAGTTGTGGAAAATAGATGACAAGCTTCTTAGAACAATGCGTAGAGTCTGCCTAGACAGAATGTGCTGTTTTATAAATGTGCTAGATTTTTAATTTCTTTCAACATTGTGTGATACTTTTCATGGTATAAGTGCTGCACTTCCCAAGTTAAATTTATTGCTAAGTGTTTTAGTCTTTTGAATACTACAGCAGGTGGGATTGCTTTCTTAATTTAGTTTTGGATTGCTTATTGCTAGTATATAGGAATACAACTGATCTTTGTATGCTGATCTTTTATCCTACAACTATGCTCGGTATATTAGCTGTCATATAGATTCTTCAGGATGTTTTATGTGTAAGGTCATGTTGTCTGTGAATAGATGATAGTTTTACTTTTTCCAGTGTCCATGCTTGTGTCTCTCATTGTACAGTCTCTCTGGCTAGTACTTCCTGTAACATGATTGTTTTGGTCCTGATTTACAAAGAAAGGACTAGGTTTCATCATTGTGATGTTAGCTGTGTGGTTTCTATAGATGGTCTTTTTTCCCTTGGTGTGGGAGATTGAACCCAGGTCCTCACAAATGCCCGGCAGATGCTCTGCCACAGGCCCACACCTGCAGCTCTTTTCTTTTCTTCTGAGACAGCATCTGCTGAATTGCCTAGGCTGGCCTCAAACGAGAGACCCTCCTGCCTCAGCTGGGAGCCACCACTCCTGGCTCGTACATGCTCTTTATCTTGTTGAGGAAATTGCCTTCTCTTCCTAGTTTGTTGAGTGGCTTTATCATGAAAGGGTGTTGGATTTTGTCAAGTGTTTTTCTACGTCATTTAAAATGATCACTTTTTAAAATTCTTGATATGATATTTGGTGTTTAGATATTGAGCCACCCTGTGTTCCTAGAATAAATCCCGTTTGGTCATGGTGTATGTCCTTTGAATATGCTGTTGGATATAATTTGCTAATTGGATTATTATTATTATGGGTTTTTTGAGACAGAGTCTTGCTATGTAGTGCATGCTGGCTTTGAATTCACTGTGTAGCCCAGGCTGGCCTTGAACTCATGCGAATCCTCCTGTCTCAGACTCCCAAGTGCTGGAATGACAGGCATGCACCACCAAGCTCGGCTATTATTGTTTTTTGAGACAAGGTCTTGCTATGTAGTTCACACTGACCTTGAACTCACTATGTAGTCCAGTCTGGCCTTGGACTCACAGAGATCCTTCTGCCTCAGCCTCCCAAGTATTGAGGTTGCAGGAGTACATAACCACTCCTGGCTGCTGATTTTTTAAAAGTGAGTTTTGCACCTGTATTCATGGTAGGTATTGGTCTGTAGTTTTCCTAGGATGTTTTGGTCTGGCCTTGATGGCAGAGTCATGTCGGCCTCATAGAATGAGTTAGGAAGCAAATGTCCTGCCACTTCAGTTGGTGGCAGAGTTCGAGGCAGTAGGTGTTAATGCTTCTTTAAGCTTTTGATGGGGTTTCCTGAGGAAGCCATCTAGTCCTGGGCTTTTCTTTGCTGGAAGCTTTCGCATTACTGAATGGATTCAAACTCTGTTTTAGATCCATTCAGAATTTCTGTTTCATCTTGAATTGGCTTTAACAGTTCCTATGTTTCTAGACCATGTGAGTATTATAGCTGTGGTGCAGTGTTGTTTATCGTCTGTTTCTATAAGGCCAGGTGATGTCCCGTTTTTATGCCTAATTTCAGTCCTTTGAATCTTCTGCCTTCTTTTCTCTGTCAGTCTGGCTAATTCTTGTCAGTTTTGTTTTCAGAGATACATTTTTTTTTTTTTTTTTTGGTACCGGGGATCAAACTAGGGACTTTGCAGTTGCGAGGCAGGCGGCGGAACCACTGAGCTAAATCCCCGGCCCTTCTGCTTTCTTTTTGAGATCCAGCGAATTTCCCTGGGTCCTGCAGCTCTCCGTCTCCAGCTTCCGGTGGCTTCTGCCCGCTTCTCTGCCAGCTTCCTCTCTGCTTGGATGTCAGGTGCCCCTCACGCTGCTCCTATGTGCTGGCTGACTTTACCTTGTGTTGTGTGATCCACAGACTCTGATTCTGGATCCGGGTCTGAGTCTGACTCTGATCAGGAGAATGCGGCGTCGGGCAGTAACGCTTCTGGAAGTGAAAGTGACCAGGATGACGCAGGTGACTCGGGGCAGCCGAGTAACAAGGAGCTATTTGGTGACGACAGTGAGGATGAGGGGGCGTCTCGACACAGTGGCAGCGAGAATCCTTCTGAGCGATCCGACAACAGATCAGAGGCCTCTGAGCGCTCCGACCGGGAGGACAACGATGGCTCTGATGTGGACCAGCACAGCGGCTCAGACGGCCAGCAGGAGGATGAGGACGAGGACGAGGACGAGGGCCGCAGGTCTGAAGGTGGGAGCCACCGCTCAGAGGCAGACGGCTCGGAGAAGGCTCATTCAGATGATGACAAGTGGGGCAGAGAGGACAAGAGCGACCAGTCTGATGATGACGACGACGAGAAGATGCAGAACTCGGACGAGGAGGAGCGGGCCCAGGCATCCGACGAGGACAAGCTACCCAACTCGGACGACGAGAAGATGCAGAACTCAGACGACGACGAGCGGCCCGCGCTGTCGGAGGAGGAGAAGGCCAACTCGGATGAGGAGCAGCCAGCAGCATCTGACAATGAGGACGGGAAGCAGAACTCTGATGATGACGAGCGGCCACAGGGCTCCGACGAGGACAAAGCACAGATCTCCGACGATGAGCGCCCACAGGCCTCGGACGAGGACCATAGGCCGTCGGACGATGAGGAGGAGCAGGACCACAAGTCAGGTAGGCTGAGAGAGTGGGGTGGCTTGGGATGGGCATTGGGGCCTAGCCTGGCCTGTGCCTTTCCTTCCCTTTACCTCCTCTCCCATCCCTCCTTTTTCACCTTTGCCAGCTACCCATTTGGCTGCTTTTTAGTCCAACTTGTCTTACTCACTCTGCCCTCCCTGGGACCCAATTCCCAACACCTGCAACAGAAGGAGGAGAGGTTTACTTTGGCTTACGGTTCAGAGGGTTCAGTGCATGGTTGGCTGGCTCCAGGGTAGGACAGCATGGCTGAGGAGAGCTGCTCGTGACCTGGCAGACAGGAAGCATATAGGGTCAAGGGCGGAGCTGGGGAGGGGACAGAGCCTTCCCAGCCACACCCCCAGGAGCCCCTCTTCCCACCAGGCCCTGCCTCCTCACAGTAAGTTGGCCGTCAGTCCCGTAGTCCAATCATCTCTTGTCTGTGAGCACATGAAGCTCTGGGGGAACATCTAGAGCTAAATCACAATACTCCTTTTATTCGCTTTCCTTTCTGTTTGTTAACTGATGATGGAGCAGAAGGAATGACTGAGGTGCTTGATAAAGACTTGAGTTGGCTCCATTTCCACAGCTACCTAGAAAGCGCAGCTTGCAGCTGGTGAGAACAGCCCTTCCTGGAGGGAGACACCCCTGGGTGTCTCTGGGAGGCCTGAGAGGTGGGCGCCGTGTCCAGCTTGGCGTCTGCATCCAGAGGTGATCCGACGCCCAGGAAAACTGATCCCATTCACCGGAAATGAACGCACGTGATTGAAGTGCACAATTCTGTGTCTTCCTCCCTGATCGATGACTGTGCTTTCCTGGCCGAGTCTGCAGTAGGGGCCACTCAGTCAGGCGGCTGCCCAGTCCACGATGTCGGGAGGTGCAAGCTTGCGGGGTGGTGGCAGGGACAGTGATGAGCTGTGAGAGCCGCACTGTGCCCCTGCTGGGTCAGGCCCCTGCCCTGTGCCTCTGGCGTGGGTCCCAAGTGCCTGGCCCACCTTCTGTAACAGTTGGCTCTGTCCTGCTCACATCAGCACAGTCCTCAGAAGACAGTGAACGCAGACACCAGGTTCTTGGTGCTGTACAGCAGTCAGTCACCTCTCTAGGGGTCCCCCGGAAGTGACACCGGACACTCATTTCTGCGAGTGACCACACGCGCTCCGGCCCCGTCTTCTCAGGGCACTCTCCCGCTCCCCCGTCTGGGACACTGACCCCCGGACAGGGGCAGAGCCACGTGTGGCCTTGTCAGGAGAGGGCGGACAGTCGCGGGGTGGCTGTGGTCTGTGGACTACGGCCCAGGCAGAGCAGGGGTGTTTGTACCTGGACCAGAATCTCTGGGGCCACGTAGTGCTTCCCAGGCGCCAGCGAGCGAGGTAATTCAAGATTGGAGTCACAGTGGGGAACCTGGTAACTGGTGACTGCTTAACTCTGAGCTCTCTAGTAGACTTTTGCCAGGTTTCAGATACACGGCTGTACCATCCAGAAATCATGATGTAGCTGCTTTTTCCTTTCCAAAATTTCACCTTTTTTCTCATTTATAATGAGTCATATAAGTTTGACCCTAGGTTTCAGTATTAATTTTCACATTTCCCCTAAGGATTTCTGCTGACAGCCGTTGGTGTTCTTTTTTTAAATGTTTTTGAAAATTAATGTCCAGTAAAGTTGACTTTATTTTGTGTGGTGTGGAAGATCAAATTGAGGGTCTTGCTTATGCTAAGCTAGTGCCTGTACCCCAGCCCTTTAATTTTTTGGTCATTGTGTATAGTTTTTTTGTTTGTTTGTTTTAGTTTTTGGAGACTAGGTCTCACCGTGTAATCCAAGTGGGCCTGGAACTTGCAGCGATCCTCCTGCCTCAGCCTCCCCAGTGTTGAGATTACAGGCGTGCACCATCAACACCCAGCCTGTGTGTATGTAGTTTTACTAGTGTTAACACATATATAGCTTTTTGGGTTTTATTGTTGTGGGGTTTTATTTGTTTCTTACAGTACCGGGGATTGAACTCAGGGCCTTCTCACTGAGCTACATCTCCGGCCCTTTTTATTTTCTGTGATAGGATCTCACTAGTTGCTAAGTTGCCCAGGCTGGGCTTGAACTTGCAGACCTCTTGCTCATCCTCGCAGTGCTGGGATGACAAGCATGTGCCTCTGTCCTCAGCTCAAATGTGTAAATTTGCGTGACCACCACTGCAGTCAGGACAGAACAGTTCTGTCACCTTGACACTCCCTCTTCCGTCCCTCCCACCTGCCCGTCTCCCCCACGCTGTACTTGAGCCCTGTGGTCAGTAGAGGCCTGGCTGGGCCACCTGGCGCCTTTCCTTGGCATGATGTGTTTCAGAGTCGTCTGCAGCGCATGTGCATGAGGGGCTCTGCCCTGGCTGCTGCTGGGCAGTGTGGCATCTGGAAGCTGCCGCCGCTCACTTGTCCCCATGTCACTTTAAAACATGAAATTCAGGCTTTGATGCAGCTGGGGTCATGCACAACTTCTAACTCTGCTCTTGTAGAATCCGCAAGAGGCAGCGATAGTGAAGACGAAGTCTTACGGATGAAACGCAAGAATGCGATTGCATCGGATTCCGAAGCAGACAGCGACGCTGAGCTGCCCAAAGGTGCCTGTTGTTTCCTTCTGCATGAAAGTGTTAGGTAGTTGCTGAGACAAAATACCCGACACCCAGAGTTAAAGGGGGAGGTGAATTTGGCTCATAGTCTATAGAGGTTTCAGTCCATGGTCAGCTGGCTGCAGGGCAGGATGGAGGAGCAGCACTTCCTGGCCGCAGAAGAAGGAAAAGCAACAAGGGGCCTTACACAGCGCCTTCCAGTCCCTTTTATCTCATTCAGGGTGCTTAGGGAGGGCAGTACTCAGGCCCTTAATCCTAGTGCCCTCAGGCCTAGCCCTGCACTTTGAATCAATTGCACACTCAAGATTCAGTCACCTTTAAAAAACCATGAGAAGTCCTGAGTTCCGATCCCCAGTACCAAAAAAAAAAACCATGAGGCCCAGCCGGGGATGTAGCTCAGTGGCACCGTGCCTGCCTTGCAAATGCAAGGTCCTGAGTTTGATTCCTGACACTGGGAAAAAGAAAAGCAGGAGGCTTTAGGGGGACATGGAAGCACAGGCCATCAGTGAGCTGAGGTGCGGTCCCTTCTCGAGGTGCTCACCCCAGCTGTGGGCCCAGAGAGGCAGAGAGGCGCCACTGCCTTGTTGAGCTGGACCGAGGCCCTTCTGAGGGGGAGCGGAAGTAACCCTGTCTGTCCTGCAGTTTGAGTCAGGATGGTCCCAGGGCTCCTTGTTCTTAACGGTTAAATGTCAGACTAAGGATAGACTCTGGCTGGTACATGACTGATCCCAGCACTCGGGAGGCTGAGGCAGGAGGATCATGAGTGCAAGGCCCGCCTTGTCTCAGAAAAACAAAACAAGACGTAAGCTGTGTGCCCATGTGTGTCACCTGTCCCTGGGCTGCCCCTGCTCTTGGGGACACGGCCTCCACGCAGGCTCTGAGATTCGGCCCAGTTGTGTTTTGGGGGTTGCAGTGTTGAAACGCTTGGCTCTGAAGCATCTCAGCGATCACGCCATGCGTTTCCCTCCTGCTTGAAAGACAACAGCGGCACCATGGACCTGTTCGGAGGTGCAGATGACATTTCTTCTGGGAGTGATGGGGAGGACAAGCCGCCCACACCGGGGCAGCCTGTGGTGAGTGGCGTGAGCGGCCTTGGGAGTCTGTTGGGGTGCCGTTCAGCCCTTGGGCCCTGGGCTTCGTCCCCTGCACCCCGAGAAAGTAAATCGGGCAGAAGCAAAGGGCCTCGTCCCCCAGGAGTGGACACTGATAAGCGAACTCAGCGGGAGAGTCCAGCCAGCAGATGGCTTCTCAGTCTGTAGGAAGCGCCTGGCCTGGAGGAGTAGAAGCGACTTCCCGAGGGGGCAGCCTGTGGGGCAGGGGCTCCAGGGCCACTGGCATGGGAAGTGGAAGTGTGGGTCCCCCGGGTGGACACCTCCCGTCTCAGGCATCACCTGGCGACTCCTGGCCGTGCCCTCTTCCTCCATCGGACCAGGGCCCTGGTGTGCCGGCCGAGGACAGAGAGATTCATCACAGGGCAGAGGGCCCTGTCCTGCTCTGTGCTTCCTGGGAAGTGTTTCTCAGGGCTGGGCGGAGCGGGAAGGAGGAACAGTGGGAGCTCTGAGCCCCCGGCCTCTCCTCAGGATGAGAATGGATTGCCTCAGGACCAGCAGGAGGAGGAGCCCATTCCTGAGACCAGAATAGAAGTGGAAATCCCCAAAGTCAACACTGACTTAGGAAATGACCTGTATTTTGTCAAACTGCCCAACTTCCTCAGTGTGGAGCCCAGGTGAGGGAAACCAGTTTTTTTCTGAATTTTTTTTTTTTTTTTTGGAATGGGGATTGAACTTGGGACCTTGTGCTTGTGAGGCAGGTGGAGGCACCACTGAGCTAAATCCCCAGCCCTTTTTCTGGATCTTGAATAGAAACAGGTATTTTTATTACTTTACAGTGAGTTGAGTTGACTAATGACAAAAATGACAAAAAAGAATATACATTCTGAGATAGGAAAAGGGTTCATTACTTATAAAGGAAGCGTTTGATACTCATGATTCTGTTTTAGCAGCATGATGCTTTCTTATGAAAGACAGAAATCACAAGTCTGTCTTAAAGACTTCTTTTTAAGATACTGGGGATCTGGTGTGGCCCCTCACACATACCAGCAAGTGCTCTGCCACTGAACTACATCCCAGCCCCTTTAAATGTATTTTGAGACGGCCTCACTAAGTTGTCCAGGCAGACCTCAAACTTGTGATCCTCCTGCCTCAGCCCAGGTAATTGGAATTACACTGGCTCTTCCAGACACTTTTGACTAGTGTAGCCCTAAAAGAACTGAAATTAGCCAGGCGTGGTGGCACATGCTGTAATCCCAGCACTCTGGGAAGCTGAGGCAGGAGGAACACAAGTTCAGGGCCAGCCTGGCCAACGTAGTGAATTAGACCCTGTCTCAGAAACACAGTTTAAAAAGGGCTGGGGTGCAGCTCATTGTGAAGGCCTCAGGTTCAGACCCCAGCTCCATAAAGAAAAACAAAACCCTGAAGTTTTTGTTTTTGAAAGGGATGAAGTTTGCTAGAAGCAGGAGATGTCCACTGAATCTGCCACTGCTGTAGATGAGCCACGGGCGTTGCATAATGAAACGGCTGGCAGGTGCTTACTAAGCTGGTGCTCAAGCTCGTGTGCGACTTAAGTGTTGATGTGGACAGCTGGGATGTAGGTGGCCTAAAGTTGGGAAGGCTGTGTAATCAGTAAAAAGTGTCTTGGATATTTAGCCTTGCTGGTACTTTCTTTCAAGCAGTCTATGTGAACTCCACATTTTAAGAAGTTGCAGTAATTCGAATACTTCTTGAAGCTGAGCGTGAAGATACTTGGCCATCGTGGTTTTTAAAATTCCATTTTAACTTTTTGATATGCTGGTGTTTGTAAATAAGACACATCGTTACCTAACAGTGATTGTCTGTAAATCTGTCTGTCCATCATTTACTCTAAAACACTTCGCAGGCCTTTTGATCCTCAGTACTATGAAGATGAATTTGAGGATGAGGAAATGCTGGATGAAGAAGGCAGAACCAGGTTAAAATTAAAGGTACTGTCCCTTACTATACTCTTTCTTTCATGAAGTAAAATCCGAGGTCGCTAACGTGAAACTTGAGCATTTGAAAATGTTTGTTTCCTCTTCTACTAGCCAAACAAATCATCTGCCTGTTCAGAATATTTTTAAGGAAATGATGTAGTAGTTGAGAACCTAACTTTACCTGCGTAGCACGGTGGGGTAGTGCCAGACATATTAGCAAACGGGAACCTATAAAAATGTCGCTTCTCTTTAGAAAATGTCCCTTCTCTAATATTTTTCTTACTGTTAGGTCTTTTGATGCTTTTTTAAAAATTGGCAGCTGCTTCCTTCAGAACAGTAATTACTGTAGTTAGGTGTTAGATGTTTAGAGCTACCTTCACCCAGGCTGTTGGTGAAGCGTTGGGAACTTCTGAAGAGGAGGTTCTCAGGGCTTAATCTGCAGACAAATCATACACAAAAGGAGAATTTACTGCTAACACTTCTCCGTGGCCGGCCCACCCTGTGTTCTCCCGATGTCCTGCGGCCCGAGAGAGCTCTGTTGTCCCAAGTCCCCAGGAAGGTCTCCTTGGTCGCCGGACTTTGCTGGGCAGGCGCTGCTCTGTCCTGTGGGACCGAGGGTTCTACAGGAGGCGACAGCTCTGAGGTGAAACTGGAGTGTGCACTTTAAATTCTCATGTCCTAAGGGTTTCCCATCCGTTCTGTGATCCTGTATGTGGTGTTATCGACTAGGGAAAGGCAGCTTCTCCCTGTCTTTGTCTCTGATCCCTTGCGGTCACTGAGGTGGTTCCAAGGATGCTGCTGATGACCTCATGCTGCGAATGAGCTGAGGTTCCTGAAGCCCCGCCGAGTTTTTAATTCTGTTCTGTATCTGTCTGGTGTCTCCTTGCCGCACTGCTCAGATGCTTAGGCTCCCAACTCTCCAAACCTGGGGTCCGATTTCCCTGGGACATTTCTTGAGCCTGACTGATAGGGGGAGCCCCGGCCTTGTTGGCCTTGGGCAGGGTTTTCTGTCTCGTTCATGGGCCCCTGAGCTCTGAGAACTGACCTCACACAGGCCCTCTGCTCTGAGTTGGCCCGCAGGCTCGGGCTCTGTCGCTGTGTGCACGGCTTTGGCTGGGTCTGAAGCCTCCCAGGCCAGTGGCAGATGGCGGGCCAGGCTCAGTTTCCTCTGGGGCTGGGACACTAGGAGCTCAGAAATTCACCGAAGCCTCGTTTTTTCCTGTTTTTAATTGTTCAGCATTTCTAGGTGATTAAAGTGAGAGGATTTTGATTATTTTTCTGTCATGCTGTACACGAGGTCATTCTGATTGTGTCTCTTGAGAAGAACATCAAGGCAGTTAAAGTGCAGTTTTCTAAGGTATCGGTATTTTAACGCAGGTAGAAAACACTATCCGATGGCGGACTCGCCGCGATGAGGAGGGAAATGAAATTAAGGAGAGCAACGCTCGTATCGTCAAGTGGTCAGACGGCAGGTGAGGCCAGCCGCGCCGGGCTGAAGGAGGGGCAAGTTGTGCCGTAGGTGCTTATTTGGGGCCCTCTTTTGAAGAGACAGGTCTTTCTGTGTTGCCCAGCCTGGCCCAAACCTGGGCTCAAGCAGTCTTCCTGCCTCAGCCTCCCAAATAACTTGGGACTGGGTTTAAGCCAGAGTACTGGGGGAGAAAATAAAAGGATTTCCATCAGTTACTCCCCGTGGTTACCTAGAAAACCTGAGAGGAGTAACAGGTTAGATGGGGTCGTGCGGACTGAGGGAGACAGCAAGTGACAGTGTGCTGAGGTGAGGTCATCCTCTGGCACGGCCTGAAGCTCGGGAAGGTTGGGCTGCCTTGGCCCTATGCCCGCCCCTCGCAGCTGGGCATTTGGGGATGCTGTCCTCCGGGCTGTGGCAGAGCTGGTGTGTGCTGTCCCCTCCGAGTCTGAAGAGAGGAAGGGGCCGGGAGGTTGGAGGTGGAGCAGCAGCCCCAGTCTGACTGCGCTGTGTCCCTAGCATGTCTCTGCATCTGGGCAACGAGGTCTTCGATGTGTACAAGGCCCCGCTGCAGGGCGACCACAACCACCTCTTCATCCGGCAGGGCACCGGCCTGCAGGGACAGGCAGTCTTCAAGACGAAGCTAACCTTCAGGTAACTGCCCACCGGAGCCTGCTGCTCCCTTGTCTGGTTCGCCATGGCGCAGCCCCTGAGCCACTGTGTCAGGTGTTCTGCCTCAGGGACCGGGCTGAAGAGAGATTGTCGTGTAGTCCATTGTCATTTGGTCACTCCAGCAGCCACCACGTGGACAGTGCGCACCCCCTCGTGACAGAGTTCATCTGAGACTGAGCAGCGCCTGATGTGCACCCTGCAGGCGGGGAGGGCACTGCCTGCACTGTGGTCACAGCAGCCCGTCCTCTTAGAGGGCCGCGGTGCTGGTGGTGACTGGGGAGTGTCTTGGTCATAGCCTGGCGCTGTGTCAGGTGGGCTGTGTTGAGTCCTCCTCCTGCTGTGTGCTGTCCTAGTCTGAGCTGTAAGGATGCTCCCACAGGCACCCACAGCAGATCTCGGTGTCCTTTGGAGCTGCAGCCCCTCTGAGCTGTGGACCCTGTGCTTCTGGAAGGTGCTCTCCCCTGCTAAACTACCTCCGCTGGCACTTGTTTCTCACTGCTCTCTTTTTACATTAATTTACTTAGGCACAACGCTCTATGGTCTATACATAAGCTGGCACATAATAGCTGGTTTCGTGGTTTTTATTTTTACTTTGTGAGGTTTTTGTTTTGTTTTGTTTTGGTACCGGGGATCGAACTCGGGACCTTGCACTTGCGAGGCCAGCCTGGAACCACTGAGCTAAATCTCCAGCCCAATTTTTATTTTTATTTATTTGTTTTTTGGTACCGGGGATTGAACTCAGGACCTTGTACTTGAGAGGTAGGCAGCGGAACCACTGAGCTAAATCCCCGGCCCAATTTTTATTTTTATTTATTTGTTTTTTGGTACTGGGGATCGAACTCGGGACCTTGCGCTTGTGAGGCAGGAGGTGGAACCACTGAGCTAAATCCTTGGCCTCTTCCCCTGATTTTTTAAAAAAGAAAACATTCTCTAAAATCTGCCATAGTTTAGAAGAAAGAAAAGGCACCAGGGGCCGGGGATTCAGCTCAGTGGTTTCGCTGCCTGCTGCGTAAGCACAAGGACCTGAGTTCGATCCCCGGTACCAAAAAAAAAAAAAGAAAAGGCACCAGGAAGTAAAAGCACAATGGCCCTTTTTCCCTATACCTAGTGAGAGGACAGTGTCTGGACTTGCAGCATGGAGCCTGCTCGCTGTCCCTGTCTGCCCTGGTGACGTGGATGTGGCCATTGGTGTCTTGTTTGTGGCCTGGGTCTGAAGGCCATTCGTGTTTGGCGGTAGTGAGATGTGCTTTGCTCATTTCCGCAGACCTCACTCCACAGACAGCGCCACGCACCGGAAGATGACGTTGTCACTTGCGGACAGATGCTCAAAGACACAGAAGATTAGGATCTTGCCAATGGCTGGCCGCGACCCCGAGTGCCAGCGCACAGAGATGATCAAGGTGGGTGGCCAGGCTTTGCCAGGGCCTCCTGGTAGCGGAGCATGGTGTCCCCAGGGCAGCTCAGCCTCCCTCCTTTCCTGGAGTGGTTCTGAAGCATTGGTCTGGTACTGAGCTGCACGGCGATGGTGTGGATCAGGCCTGGGGTGTGGTTCCCTCCCCTGGGAGCCCAGCTGCACAACGTGACCAGAGTAGCTGAGCCTCCACGTTACTTCCCAGGTCGTTACCCAGCTGGATTTTGGATTTGGTGTAGGATCAGCATGAGAAGTCAGTGGGAATGCTAAAGATTGGAAGTGAGGGGCCTGGAATGGGCAGTGCCTACTGTGGACCCCACAGTGTAGGCATGGGCTGGGTGTGGCTCTGTTCTTTTTCTGGTGCCAGAGATGGAGGCCTGGGCTCTGCCCGCCGGGCAGGTGCTCTGCCGCTGCCGCAGCCCAGCCTGGCTGCGAGTTCTTCGGAGCTCAGAGCATAACGCCTGCTGGTGGGTTTTCAGATGGCCCCAGCTTGTTCCGCATGGTCCTGAGCGATGAAGGAGGGCTTGTGTCCCCCAGCCGGAGGGGGATCTTCCCTCTGCAGCAGGGCGGACCCTGCAGGCCTTCCCATGGCCGGAGCCCCTGCTGTGCCCGTGTCTGGTATTTTCTCCACAGCAGTCAGGTCCCAGGAGCCAGGGTCCCCGTGCTGGCCCACCCCTTCTGCGAGGCCCCCAGCACTGGGGGACATGCCGTAGGCCTCCTGCACACCCTGTCGCTCTGTGGAACGCAGGCGCAGTTGGCTGTGGGGCCCTGGGGCTTGCAGCACCAGGCATGCTTTCACGAGGCCTCTGCATGGCCTGGGCCGCTCCGTCAAATGCGCTGTGTAGAGTTGGTAGCTGAAGCACTAGAGTTGCTTGTGATGCTGGGGCACTTGAACAGGGCGCCTTAGAGAAATGCCGGAGTCACCCTGACTTCTCCCCTTTTCACTCTGTGAACCCCAGCAGCTGTGTTCAGCACACAGTTCTTGGGGCCAGAGTGCATGGGTGTGGCGCTGGGGTGGGACCACTGGCTACCAGGGATCTGCCAGACGCCCTCCCTTGGGGGCTCCGCTCTCCCTAGCACCCAGGTCCAGCTCTCAAGTGCCCTGGGACTGGGCTCCCAACACGCGACATCTGGTTTGTGTCACCCTGCTTTGCAGAAGGAGGAGGAGCGCCTGCGCGCGTCCATCCGCCGGGAGTCGCAGCAGCGCCGCATGCGGGAGAAGCAGCACCAGCGTGGGCTGAGCGCCAGCTACCTGGAGCCCGACCGCTACGACGAGGAGGAGGAGGGTGAGGAGTCCATCAGTCTGGCTGCCATCAAGAACCGCTACAAAGGCGGCATCCGCGGTGAGTGTCCATCCGCTGGCTCTGGCCTTGTGCTCTGGCTTTGGCTTTGTTTCCGTGCCGGGACCTGGGCTCCGTGGTCTCCAGGGCCAGTGTCGGCGGTGCCTCTCGACTGCAGCCTTTTTGGGGACACGAGGCGGGAAGCAGCTGCCGCCGTCCCGCCAGACCCCTCCTGTTTGCCAGTCAGAGTTGAACTGTCCCACCTTCGCTTTGGTATCAACCAAAAGCCAAGAAACGGAATTATTTGGAGGATGGTTTCGTCCGTGCTCCTGCCTTCGTTCCCTTCTGGGTGGGCTCGGTTTGTGGGGGTAGCTTCTCTACAGTACACCGGGCGTCCTGCCTGGCCGCCACACGGTGCCATCATGTTTGCTTTTGTGACTTTGCGCTTTTTTCCCAGTACAGGGGATTGAACCCAGGGCCATCATGCTGAGTTACATCCTTGGCCCTTTTTAAAAACTGAAATTTTGAGGCAGGATCTCACTAAGTTGTCCTAGGCTGGGTTCAAACCCAGCCACTCAGTGCTGGGATGGCAGGTGGGCCTCCACGTTGGCTGGCTCTGTTCTTGTTGAGGAGACCTGAGGCTTTGAGAGGCTCAGTAACTTGCCCGAAGACAGGTAGGGGTTAAGTGGCCAGCTCTGGCACCGAGTTGCCGCCTCCTGAGACGCTGTTTTCCTGTCCTGCCCAGGGTTCCCGTGGCCAGCAGCGACATGGTGTGTGGGAAGAAAGCGTGCACTGGGTGGGTGGACCCTGGCCCGCCCTGCCCTTGGTCCTTTGCTGCTCAGTTGGGTGGCCCAGAGGTTCAGGGACCCCGCTGGCCTGGGCCGTGCGTCCTGTGGTTAGTTAGGGCCTGAATGACGGCATGTGCGGTACTGAGCCCAGACCCTGGTGCAGAAGGCGGCTGCTGCCACAGCTGTCGTGAGTCACTGTCCTTCTCATCGGCCTCAATGGTGACTTCCCGTCTCCACACCGGCTCCTGTCTGGGTGAGGCCCTGGGCCAGCTGCCTCTCTGGGAGCTCCAGGAGTCACAGTCTGATGCTGACTGTGCCCGAGGACCATGCATCTGCTTTTGTCCCTGTGGAGCAACAAGTTTTAAAAGCACCCAATTTTCCTTTCTCTGAGCACCCTGCAGAATGAACAAGCATCCTCGCTCAGACTCCTGCAATGACCCAGTTGGCCTGTGGGCCTGTGTACCTCACACACGTGTTCTTTATTTGGGGGTCATAGTACAGACTTTGTTTTCTGGTCAGCACTAATTTCCCACAGAGGAAGGTAGTGGTACGTTACGCCACAGAAAGATGACAGAGCGTTAAGGTTGCAGCTAAGGACCAGCCAGGGGTTCCGTGGCCAGGCCCCAGAGATGAAGCCTGGCCAGCCCATCGGGTCTCGTCCGCTCGGGCCGGGCGGGCTCACATCCCCCACTTCCATGTGCAGAGCGCTCCAGAGAGCTGAGTCTTGAGATTACATGTTTCAGTCACTCAGTTCCTCTGGGGAAGGTGCAGAGACCTAAGTGCTCTGCAGAAGGGAGACGCTGGAATGAGCCCATGACCAGCTCCGAAAGCCACTCAGCCTGGTTGCTTTGCTTTCAGAGGAGCGCGCCAGGATCTACTCCTCAGACAGCGATGAGGGCTCGGAGGAGGACAAGGCACAGCGGTTGCTCAAGGCCAAGAAACTCAACAGCGATGAGGTGAGTGTGGGCTCCGGGTGGCCTTGGCCCCGGATCTGGCCCAGGGTGAGGTGCCCTTGGCCCTGACATAGGTGGGTGCGCAGGGCCAGGGGCTCCCGTGAGGTGACAGCTTGGTGGCATGTTTGCGATATAGGACTGTTGGGGACAGCATCTTCATCCAAGAGATGTTTATTCCTTGGCAGGCAGAAATGGTGACTAAGAATCGTGAAGTCCCAGGGACTCTGTTTATTCTTGGTTTCCTCATAAGTGAGACTTTTCTTCCTCAAGCCCCGAGGCCTAGCAGAGCTCCCCTTGGCTGGCAGGGGCAGGTGTGGGACCGCCTGACTAAAGCCGGCCCTTCTCTGCCAGACCTCTCCTCGCTTCCCCGACAGCAAGCACTGTCCCCTCCTGGCCAGCTCTGCATCTCAGGTGGCATCACCCCATTCTGAGGCCCGGCCTGGGTGGTAGTGGAGGAGAGGTGCAGCTCCCGCCTCGGGTCCCTCTGTTTCCCAGCAGTCTGGGTGTGCCGTGTGGGCCGGGGACTCGGGGCAGGTGGCAGAAACAGGAAACGCTGTGCACCTTCTCCAGGGGGCCAGGTTGGCCAAGGGGAGAAAGCGCTCACTGGCCCGTGCTGGCTCCAGAGCTGGGGTGCAGGCGTGGGGACTGGGGTGGGCTGTGCTGTGCTGTTCCATTCCCAGGCTGGGGAGGGAAGCACGCCAGGTGGAGGGCAGGACTCGGGCAGGAGCGGCCGATCCTCGCAGCCGGAGCTGCCTGCTGCCCGCTCTGTCCCCTCCCCGCTCCGCAGCCTGACCCGACCTCCGGGGCCCCACCTTCAGGTGGCCAGTGTGTCCACAGGGCTGCACTCAGGCAGTGAGCATCCCTGCCTTAGGCCTCATTCCCCACTCACACACGGCTCAGGGATGGGTTCCTGCCACTTTGCACAGGGAGCATCCATTGTGCCCGGCCGCACCGTGAGGTCACCGGGGTCTGCCACGTACTTGGCCCAGGCCCTAGAGTTGGATATGAGCCCTGCAAAGAGGGGGCCCGTGGATCTGAGAACTGGTCTTGACTTTGAGCGGGAGTTTTGTTCATCTGGGGAATGTTCTTACTGAAACAGCGATGGAGTTTCTAGAAAGGCACTGAGCACTGAGCTCACGGCTGCTTTATTTGTTTTTGTTTTTGTTTTTGGTACCAGCGATCGAACTTGGGACCTTGCGCCTACAAGGCAGGCGGCGGAACCACTGAGCTAAATCCCTGGCCCCTCATGGCTGCTTTTGAGAGGCCATCTTAGAAATATTGTTTTGACTTTTAGATTTTAAAAAATTTTTATTAGTACACATTTGCAGTACATGATTACATTCATCATGGGTTGACTTTTATTTATTTTTTGGGGGTGCTGGGGATGGCACTCAGGGCCTTGCAGGCAGGTGCAGCCCACTGAGCTAACTCCCCAGCCCCAAGTTAAATTTTAGAGTTTTGAAAACGTTGTCTGTTTAGGAAGGCGAGCCGTCTGGAAAGAGGAAGGCAGAAGACGATGACAAGGCTGGTAAGAAGCACAAGAAGTATGTGATCAGCGATGAGGAGGAGGAGGAGGACTAGTGCGGGGGGGCTTTATGTATGGATTGTACAGTTTGCTGTATAAACATGTAAACATGAGCTGTTTTGATTTAAATGAATTGATCTGCATTTGTGTAATTTTAATTGTAATAAAAAACCTTGAAGGGCACCCTGCACGTCTAACTGGCTGGTTTTGTTGCCACCGCTTGGAAAGGACTTGCTGAATCCCCCACGCTGCTCCATCCGTCCCTGCCCGTGCTCCGACGTGGGGTGTGTGGCACACAAGTCCCCCTGGAAGGAGCCTTCCCACCCGCCCTCCTGTGGTCATGCCCGGTGTCCCTGGCTGGTGCCACCAAGCCTGCGCTGTTCGCGTCTTCCTTCTCTGCCCCTCCGCGCCCCCTCCGTGTCCCTGAGTAAGGACAGTCACGGGGCTGAGGGCCAGCTTGGGCCCAGCGCCCACTCCTAGTAACGTGCTAAAGAAACCCAGCTGCCAAGCAAGGCCACCTGAGGTTCTGGGTAGACCGTACTGGTTCCCACCCCACTGCAGTCATTTGAGGGCAGGGTGGCTCCTTTTTAAAAATGATCTTTTTATGCTTTAGTTTTGATCTTAACACTGCCTTGCAGGGCTGGGCTGCGGCTTGGCAGGGGAGCAGATGCTCGGAGCACATGAGGCCCGGGTCCAGTCTGCTGCAGTGCCGTTGGCCTTGTAGGTGCCAGAGCATTCCTCCTGGACGTGGAGACACGGGAGCCTTCTGATGGGAGCAAGGGGAGTATCCTGTCACGCCGTCCTAGCCAGAGGGGCCCCAGGAGCTGTGTCACCTTAGTTTGGGTGCCCTGTATGACCCAGCTGCTTTCCCTGCCCTTTGTTAGGAGGGCTCCAGGGCGCCACGTTCAGAGGGCATTAGACTCCTGCCTGGAGTCGGGTTTCCATTTGCTCGGGAATCAGTGCCTATGTGTGATGTGTCTCGATCCTCCTCCCCACACCTCGATTCTTCTTGGGAAGATTTAGAGTTTGCAGCATTTTGTCTTTGAGACAGGGTCTTATTATGTAGTTCTGGCTGACTTCAAAGTCATGGTGATCCTCCTGCCTCCGCCTCCTGAGGGCTGGGATCATAGGTGTGTACCCCCAGGCCCTGTGATGGTGCTTATCTGTGTGCACTAATTTTGTCCTTATGGTAAATGCAGTTGGGCGTCACCTGAGGCCTGCCCCATAGAAAGAAAAGTGACATCACCGGACAGAGACCTGAGTCCCTGTTAGATCGCCATCAGAGCTCTTCCCTGCCTGTCTGAGACCTTGCTGTGCCCGACCTTTCCGAGGCGGCAGACTTGAGTGTGTGTGCGCGTGTGTGCGGGTGTGTCAGTCCCTAGGCTTGGCCTCCGTCCCCAGACCCATCCTGTCTTTCTTGCTCTGTGCCCAGCCGCCCTGGAGGCACTGAAGGAACTGAGCCTGGGCACGGAGGGTGCCGCTGGTCTGCGGTCCTGAACTCTCGGCCCCTGGGTGGGGCCCTACAGTCAGCAGTGCTCGGCAGCTGCTGTGCTGTCCCCAGGCGCAGTAGCCGCTGACGGCTGCTCTGTCCTGTGTGTGGGCCATGCCAGGCCTTTCAGGAGATCGGGGTTCAGTGCGTGTGCTCTTCCCAGCTGGCTGTCACATCTGCCGTCTCTGCGGTGCCTGAGAGTTCTCTGCGTATATTTAAGTAACCTTGCTGACTGTCAACCTAATTCGACTTCTTCTTTAAATACTAAATTCTGCTGGGCCTGGTGGGGCACACCTGTAACCCCAGGACTTGGGAGGCTGAGGCAGGGGGATCACTTAAGAGTTCCACGCCAGCCGGGACCGTACAGGGAGACCTCATCTCAAAAAACAAAACAAAACAAAACAAACCCTGGGCTGATGGCTTCAACAAAAAAATGAAACATATTTGATAAAAATTTTTAAATACTCCATTCTGTGCATACAGATGGTGGGTGTGTTCTCCGTCTCCTGACCTGAAAGCTGCTTGCTGTCTGGAAACAGGTCTCAGCTGGGCCAGGTCCCAGTGCAGGTTCCCCAGGAAGTGGGAGCACAGTGGTCTGTGGGGGTCAGAGGTCACACGCGGCTCAGGGCCCCTCACCTTGGGGCCATGGAGCTGAAGACATGGAGGCTTCTGTGGGCCACAGCGCTGACAGAAAGCAAGCCGCACATCACTGCCCTGTTCAGCCTGCACTGCAGTTGGAAGAGGGAGCTGCCACGGCACCGGGATGGACTCCTGTCCTGCAGCTCTGACACGGAAGTAACTGAAGAGCAAGAAACGCGGCTGGGACTCGGCTTGCAGGGTCTCCGGAAGAGAAGGCATTGACTGGGAAGGACGGAGGGGATGGGGACTAACGTGTCCCTCCCAAGCTTCCTGTTGGACCCTGGTCCCCACTGTGATGGCACTTGGGCCAAGCTGTGGGAGGAATTGGGGCTTGCGTTGACAGGACAGGCGCCATGACAGGACCGATGTCCTCAAGAAGAGGATGCAGGCCAGAGCTCGCCCTGTGCTCACAAGCACAGCAAGATGGCGTCACCTACCCAAGAGGCCTCAGATGGAACTTGCCTTACTGCCCCTTGTCCTTGGACTTCTGACTTGGAGCTGGAATGCGCCCCAGTGGGTCAGCCCCTGGAGTTTGGGGCGGTTTGTTGGGACAGCCTCACTGAGATGGGGATGTCTGTCTCAGAAGGGGCCTCCCCCGCCTCAGGCCCCTCTTGGTCCAAGGAAACTTGTCCACTGGGGGACACTAAAGGGCCATGGCGGGCAGTTCCCATCTCCGAGCCTTCCCACTGACTGGCTCTTCACAGGACCTCATTCACTCCGGCAAAGCCGGCACAAAGTCTGAGGAAAACAGCTTATACACCAGAGGAATTACAAGGCTCTGTCAGACAGAGTAGGGGAAGCCTGGAGAGGGGCTGGATTCTAAGACAGGAGAGGAAAAGAACAGAGTTGAACAGTAGAGTGTGCCGAATACACAGCGAGAAAAATATATGGAGGGCACTTCAAATTTAGTGCAGAAAAAGACACTGCACCATTGACCCCTGCATCCTCCCCCTTGTTTCGAACACACTGACCCCCATCATTCTTGGTACTCTCTGAAGCAGCTCCAAAGGCCTTTCCTGAGTGTCTATGAGGTGTGATCCAAATACTGAGTGTTGCTGCTGAGCACCATCGGAAACATGACGCAAACGTAATGCTGTGTCCTCATCCACCTGTCACTGGGTCTGGCACCATGTGACCTCTGGCTCCTCAAAGTCAAAATGACCAGGAAAGCGAAATGTTTTGCCAATTCAGGGTAGCCAGGACAGTGCAACTAAAGACACTCAGGAAAGAGGACTCCAGAGCTGCTGCTTTCTCTTTGTAGTACTGAAGATTGGGCTTGAACCTGTGATCCTCCTGCCTCAGCCTCCCCGAGTGCTGGGAAGAGTATGCCATTATGCCCAGCTTTCTGGGCATTTAAAAGTAGTCCGATAACCTGAGAACCCTTCCAATCGAAGTCATTTCAGTGTGTATGAGTTGTTTATCATACTCATTGAAACCTCATAAAAACTGGCTTCTCAGGGAAAAGTGTACAGTGGGGAGAAACATTGTTCAGCAGAAAAACCCAGGAGCAGGATGGTGTCACCTTTGCCCATTGTTCCAGGAAAATCCAGGGTGAAAGAGCCAGGCATGGCTGGCGGAAGGGGCCAGGGCTAGAGCGGCTGGCAGACCCAGGATGGAAGGCAGAGCACCAGTGAGCTGCAGGACATCACTGCCTGTGACTCTGGGGGTCATCGGACGACCCTCGCACCACTCCTGGAGGGGGAAGTCAGGGCTGAGAGGCCCGCTGGTCTCGGGTCTCTTCACAGGGGCACTGATCATTGCCAGCCCCTGCCCTGGACATCACCCAGCACTGGTTTTGCCAGCACAGGCGTTTGGGAGACATAGCAGTCCACATCAGGGAGCACAGTGGTTCAAGCGACAGGAACAAGCTCTTGGAGGAGGAGGCAGGAAATGGACAGCAGAACATGGGAACTGAAAGCATACTTGCTTTTGCAGTCTATACAGCTGCACATGGAGGCACACGCCTGTAATCCCAGCACTCTGGGAGGCTGAAGCAGGAGGATCACAAGATTCAGCTCAGCCTGGGCAACTTAGCAAGACCTTGTTTCAAAAAATAAAAGGGCTGGGATTTAACGCCAGCCATGTCAAGGTCCTACATTCAATCCCTGTGCTGAGAAAAAAAATCTACAGGATATTTGATGAACTTTATTGAAATTATTTGTTCCAATATATAGTGGTAAGTTTCAAGTGCCTACGATATGTATTTTTCAAAGAAACTCGATTTACTATTATGAACTGGATGAATATTTTATTATTTAAAAGTCAGTTATAAAATTTGCTTTTATACTTGTATAAATTGAAAAAAAAGCAGAGTATTAGGATTTATTGGCATTAGAAAACATCCACCTAAATCCCCAGCTCCATGTGACCAATGAGGCCCTGTTACAAAGGTGATTTGCATGCTTGCAACACAATCAAACCCCACTACAATCCATCTCAAAGGCTGGAAAAAGTGGGAATTTATGTGAAGTTACAAAGATTTTATGCTATGTCCACATACTTTTAAAAAACAATCTAAGCAGACAAATCAAACATCTAGAACGTAATCAAAAACTTAAGCTTTCAACCAGGTGCAGTGGGACATGCCTGTAAGTCCCAGCTACTCACAAGGCTGAGGCAGGAGGGCTGCTTAAGCTTAGAAGGTCCAAGCCAGCCCACAATTGAGCAAGACTCTGTCTCAAAAAAAACACAAAAGGGGCCGGGGATTTAGCTCAGTGGTTCTGCCACCTGCCTTGGCGAGCACAAGGTCCCAAGTTCGATCCCCGGTACCAAAAAACCCCACAAAACCCTTTTTTTTGTAGCAGAGATGAAGTTTAAACTCTTAAAAATTGCCGTATCCACCCACCAGGAAGCACTGAGGATTTATGCTTCAGCTTTAGTGTCTGAACATGTATAAACTGCAGTACCTGGAAGGTTTTATGCCAGTTAGTTGTGCTGCATTAATTAAAACACGCTGAGTCTATAAGAAAAGAATAAAAGTTCTATACTGTGAAGGTGTGGGATAATCTTAAACTTGCGTGAACTTGCCAGTTAAATCAACATAGCTTTTGGTGTTTCTTAGTGTGACGATCTATTTTTAATCTAAAGCCACCATCTTCAATCTAATTCTTTACGAGCTAATGACCTTTCTAAAATACATGATAATGGCTGACAGTAGCTCACCCAGTGATGGCTTTTTTCTTACGTGATTAGTAACCTGAGGGTGGCCCCTCTGAAATTAGCAATCTTCTGCAAAGCGGAATTTAAAATTAGTAGCACACTATAAATGTCCTATTATAAAATCTTCTGTAGTCACAGCACTCAGGAGACTGGAGGCAGGAGGATTGTGAGGCTACGCAGCGACACCTGTCTTCCAGAACAGGTAGCAAGCTGTTCGGTTTTTATAGGGAAGGACTTGCGGTACTGAGTTACAGTGGAGAAAAATGACTAAGATCAAATTATGGCAGTGCAGACATCTCTGGCTCTGAAGATACTTTCTCAACTGAAGGTCATGAGTGGAGAGCTGCCTGGCTGTGCCTGGACGCAGGCTCGGGCAGTGCCATTCACTGTCTGGCACGCTGGCCCCCAGGGTGCTGGCAGAGCAGCAGCACCCGAAGCCACATCTCCAGGGCGCCCAGCTCCACCCAGAAAGTCTGGGCCTCTGGTCTGCAAGGAGGGAAAGGTCCTGGTTTAGTGTCTGTGCAGCCCAGGCAGCACAGTTCCTGGTTCCAGAGAGAAGCACGGCAGCCTGGGGATGTGAGGCAGCACAGATCTCACCTTACCTTTACCTTGTTTTATGGCAGCAGGGCTCAATATAACGTACAACACACACAACTAATACTTTACCAACAAACTTTCCTGCTGTAATTTTTATTGTATCACGGAATCCCCTTCTAATGGAAAACACCTCAGCTAACAGAGCAAGCGTGGGGTGCTTCGTCCAGATGCGGCAGGGATGCACACTTGCACACCCTCCACGGCTCCCGGGACAGCTGCTGGTGGGCTGCGACATGCATGTTCACCTGCTCTTTGGGCAGGTGCCTTCAAATGTATTTAACTTACTCTTTTACTAGGCTTTAGCTACAAGGACACAGCACCAAAATCCATTTCCATAGTATTCATATTAGCCACTAAAATTGAGCTTTTAATACATACAATTTCATGTAGACACACTGGAAAAATTAGAACCCCAGATAAATATGAATATAAACTTTATAAAAATTAGTAATTAAAAGCTTTTTTAAAAACAGCAATTTAAAACTGCAAAGAATATTCTCTTAGATAACCAGATACCTTTAAATTGGTTAGACTACAAAACCTAGGGTCTTAGAAAGTCTCTGGTTTTAAAATTAAGACTACATCAAAACCCTAATTTATCTGTCCTACTATAAAAATCTTACGAGCGATCTGGAAATACTGAAAGCTACTAAGAGGTTAAGAGGAGCCAGATTTTTAAAGATCAAAGTAAACACCTTGTTCTCCCTTATAATTACACATCTTGAGGGGTTTTTCTATTCAATTGATTGTGTTCATATTCAGAATTACTTATAAGGAAATCTTTCTTCAGTTACACAACGGACTCACTGATAAGCAGCAGTGAAGAGGACGTTCCCCTGCGTGGCCTGAGGTTCCCGAGAACCCTCGTGGAGGGGCCGCCTTCCCAGCTGAGCCAGAGCCTTGACCCCCAACCCTGACCCCACACCTGTCTGGACTGGACAGGTGCAGGGAACTCACAGGCTGTGCCTGAGAGAATGGGGTAGAAGAGGGTGGGAGAGAAGCACGGAACTGGAGGCTGTGCAAGCTGATCTCTGCCCCTTTGAAACACTGAAAGCTGATTTCAGAAAGCTACACCCATCAGCATGTCGGGAGGCCCTGGCCTGCAGGCTTACCTCCATGCTGCGCAAGCTGCCCAGCTCAGGAGATATACGGAATGGCCAAGGCCGAAATAGTAGAGTCACCCAATTTCAAAAGGCTTATTAAAAAGAGTACTAACAGGCGGGGGTGGTGGCTCACAGCTGTGACCACAGCATGGGGGACACAAGGTTGGGGGTCCCAGGTTCAGGTCCTACCATGGTGACGCAGTGAGCCTGGCTCAAAAACAGAGCAGGGGATGTGGCATAGTGGCTGAGGGCCTGGGTTCAATCCCCAGTGCAGTGACAGCAACAACAAAACACAAGAGCACGTCTCCCCCTCCCGAGTATCTTTCTGGGTGCCGACCTCGCTGTGGAGCGGTGCTCCCTCTCTTTCCTCGCTCTGCGGCTCCCAAGGTGGGGCTGGACGTGCAGGCTCACAGCACCCCGCCCGGCATGCCTGAACACTGACAAAACCACTTGTGCTACAGAAATGACGTTCACGACATGGACTCTAAGCAGCAGGTACACGTGCTTCCCTCTGGCCGGTCACACGGGCGGTGCTGGGCTGCACTCGCGTGCCCACCGGATCTGATGCAGGTGGTGGCAGCGGTAGCAGCTGCCCTGCAGTTCCCTCGGCTTTGCAGGCTTAGCAGCAGCTCGCCCTCTTCCACCCTCAGTAGCAGACCCGGCTGTGCCTTTTACTGGGGAAGAAAACAGCTTTTCCATCAGATGCCTTTACAAAATGCAATAATGCCCATGTGCAAGTGACAACTTTGTAACAGAAGTGACCGTACTTTAGACAAAGCACGCATCCTGGCTGCCGGGTGACGCGCACAGCGGCCCAATCCAGCGGGCACTGCATCCCTGTAGAAGGGTGGCCTGGCTCCTGAACTCCAGACTTTGAGTCATCAGTTTTAAAATTCTGGTATTTTGGGCTGGGGATTTAGCTCAGTGGTTCTGCTGCCTGCCTTGCAAGTGCAAGGTCCCAAGTTTGATTCCCGGTGCCAAAAAAACAAAAACAAAAAAAACTCTCTCCAAGTTCATGTATTTTAAAATGCGGAAAAAGGTCTGGAAAGGTCTCCAGGTTATGAAATAAAAAGCACGCTTTTAAGGGCCTTATACCTAGAAGAAGCAACAGTACTTTCGTATCAGCAATGTCCCTTTTGGATTTTAAAAACAGTGGTCCTCAAAATGTTCAAATTATTCTGCATGAGTTCTGAAACACTGTTATAATTGTATTTTTTGCCCAAGATTCATTATAAATCATTCAATTAATCTAACTTTAAAAAGATTCTAGTAGAAAGTAGAAATGCTTCAAAATATAAAGAATCATCTACTGTTGATTTACAACTTGAAATCGATAACAACTTAAACAAGGAAAATAATGTATATAGTTAAAAAAAAGATTTCCAGTCTTTTCCCTTCTACCAGGAGAGATCTGCATCTGCTGCCACCACCGGCCCTTGGCCGCCTTCCAGTCCTCCCAAGGGCCCGCCGTACCGCTCACGGGTGGCCCCTTCCACTCGCCTCTTGCGCACTGTGAGAAGAAGAAAGGACATTAAGAACCTCTTTGCTTCTGCAGTTAACGTGCCCGTGACAAACAAGCATGTCCAAGTAGTCTGGTTAAAGTTTTACAAGTGACATGCACTCCCAGTTCACGTGATCATGAATGGAAACGTCCCCAGCGCCCCTACTGGCTTTCGCCCACCGACAGCCACACACCCTGAGCTGCAAACACCATACAGCGGCTCACCCAGTGACCCGGGCATGTGCAGCGGAATGGGACCATTCGATTTCTGAGTTGGTTACTGAAAAATGTACACCGTGTTTAGAAAACTCACTAACAAATGACTGTGTTAAGTTCTGCAACACATGCAAGTAGCTGGGGTTAGGAAGTAGTAAAAGTAATTATCTGCATCCTCTCCTGGTTGGACACCACAGTGTACTTCCGCAGTCTGAGATAATATACCAAAAACATTTTTGTCATTTCCACAGGTAAGCAACTTGCTGCTTTCCAAATTCTCCTCCTCTTTCCTCCTACAAAACAAACCAGTGCTGGGATTGGATGAAACAATGCATGCAAAGTAATAGAACTCTCTGGCCCTGGTGAGGTGGCAAGGCCCTGCGGGCATCATCACCTCTGCCTGCCAAGAGGCCCACAGTGACACGGCTCTCACGGGCATCTGCAGCGTCACCAGACCAGCAGCCTCAGCTAATGAAGAAAAGTTTTATGCTTATTGAAATATTAGGGACATCTTCCCAGCACTCAGGAGGCTCAGGCAGGCAAGTGTGAGCCCAGCTTGGACTACACAGGGAGTTTAAGGCCAGCTCAGAATACAAAACAAGACCAGAAATAAAAAAGGGTGAAAAAAACCCCAAAGGAGACTACAGTTCCCAAATACAAATTCAGTTCACAAATACAGATTTCTGAAAACTACGGAAGTATCTGAAAGGCAAATATCACATAATTCCTGAGGGCAGGGCTTGGCTGTGGCTGGCTGGTCACTGCAGATGGCACAATGCAGGCTGTGAACGGGACGCAAGCTGTGAGAGTACGGAAGACAGGAAAGGTGCAGAGAGCTGCTTCACGGCTCAGCACACGTGCACCGCATAACCTGCCCTCACGGCTGCGACATGTCCTAGCTGGACAGGTGCGGGAAGCAGGATTACGTCACCGAACAGCTGAGTCTAGGAAACGATGAGGGAAGACGGCATCCAAACCAGACCGGGGCTGGGCTTTCAGCTCAGCGGCACCGTGCCTGGCTCTTGGCGGGGGGACAAACCAGAACGCCAAAGCCACAGAGGTGACAGAGCCTCCCCCAAAAGCGGAAGACTGTTAAGTCCCAAGCCCTGGTCTCTGATGCTCTTCTGAGTTGCTACAGGAGGCGGGAGGGAAGCCCTGCCTGTCCAAGAGCACGGTCTGAAGCCTCTCACCTGACCCCAGGCCAAGATGGCAGCGGACGGCTGCTCCTGTGGGCACTGCACAGCGAGGGGCAAAGAGCCGCTCTGCCACCACTCTGCCACGGTTCCCACCTGGCTCCCGTTACCTGCAATTCCTCAGAGGACCACTAGATGGGAGGCTTATAAATTCTTCCCTGTTAATCTTTTGGAGCAGGTTCAGTTTCTTTCCAAACCCCATGCTGCTGTGGAGAAATCCTAACCACCCTGTTTCTGAGACTAATACGAATAGTTTTAAAAATATCATCTCATGCATTCAGAAGCCTATATGGCTCTCAAATGCCTGATAAAAAATCCAGAGACATCTAAGGTCTTCATAGGAAACTCAGTGTCTTCTGCCAACTTTCCCTCATGCAGCTGACATCACAGTTCTGTTCTATTATTCGGACAAGTTCTTCGAGAGTTTGTTCTAGACCCAGCATCGGGCTGAGTTCTCATCCTCAGCACATATGCAGCTCTCTCACTCCCAGCCCTGAGGCTCGGCCTGTGATGCCCACGTCCGTGTGTCTGGATTGATCCAGACCGGATTGATCCAGATGGCAACTCCGTGGGTACGTCCATGTCGCCTCGGAGCTCCATGCTGGGCCTCATCTCAGCTGCTCGGGCCACGCAAGGCAGCCGTGCGTGCACACCTCAGCCCCAGCTGCCCAAACCTCCTCGACTTGCTCCAGACATGTCCTTCCTGACAGAGACAGGGCCCGAGCTGGCGGGGGTTGGCTGCCCTGCTCTGATGGCAGCTGGGAACACCAACTGCTGGCAAGGGCACAGGGGACAGAGAGGGCTAGGGCTGCAAACCTGTTGGTGGCATTCAGGATCTAGTGGGACAGTTTCAGAGAAGGGAAGTGGGACTGGGGATTTAGCTCAGTGTTCTGCTGCCTGCCTCACAAGTGCCAAGTTCCCGAGTTCGATCCCGGTACCAGAAACAAAAGGGCAATTCACAGAGGAGGAGTGGAGGACACTTCAGGCCTAGTTTCTGGCGTTCAGGCGCAGGAGCGTGGCGGCTAAGGCAGAGGCAGCTATCCCTCTGTATTCATTCACCTGACACATTTCCACTCAGCATCATCAGGCAGGCATGGCCCTGAGAGGTCTGGATGCAGCAGCTGGACATGGCTCCGCCAACAACACGGTCGCTGTCCTCACTGTGCTGCGAGTGCTTAGAAACACCCTTCCAGTGAGGTGTAGCTACCAGAAAATATGACCAATGCTGTGACAGGCAGGGCTGGGGGATGCACCTGGCGCAAAGTGTGAACTGACAAAAGACTCAAACCCAGGCACCCACAGCCACCTGGAGAAGCAGGCCAGGGCCACAGTGGGCAGCACAGCCTGTGACAGTCACTTGTGAGGCCCAGTGCCCAAAGCCTACCCGAGGCCAACCACACTGGAATCAAAGGGAAGGAGGGCCAAGAATCTGTTTTAAAGCTCTCCAGTTATTTATGAAGTTTGATCAGACTTGAGAAACACTGCTATAAAAAGCAAAATTAAATATTTAGAGCAGGCCAGGTGTGAAGTCACACATCTATAATCCTAGCATTCTGGGAGGCAGAAGCAGGAGGACCCCAAGTTTGAGCCCAGCCTGGGCAACTCTGCCTTAGCAAGAACCTGTCAAAATAGAAACTTTAAGTAGGCGTGAGAATGTAGCTAAGTACACAGCCCTAGGCCCTAGTACCACAGCGGGTAAAATTAGCGGGAAAAATGGAAGCTAACTAATGAACCGATAATAAAAAGATTAAGGGCCGGGGATTTAGCTCAGTGATACCGCTGCCTGCCTTGCAAGCATAAGGTCCTGAGTTTGATCCCTGGTACCAAAAAATAAATAATAATAACTTTATTAAAAAGAAAACACAGGGCCAGGGCTTTAGCTCAGTGGTTCGGCTGCTTGCCTCACAAGCACAAGGTCCTGAGTTTGATCCTCAGTACCAAAAAAAAAAAAAAAGCCAGGGATTTAGCTCAGTGGTTCCAGCACCTGCCTCGCAAGTGCAAGGTCCCAAGTTTGATCCCCAGTACCAAAAAAAAAAGCAAGTGGCTAAAATTTCCTATTGGAAACTAGTCACATAAGGAAGAGGAAGGGTCTGAACTAATATGTTCCACAATGATCTTGGTTAAAGGACTGAAGTTGTATTATTTCTACACCAGAAACATTAAAATGAAAATTCAAATACAGCTGAAGCTTGAAAGCACAAGAGCACTTTCAAAAGTTACTCCTGTTGGGTCATCTTCTTTTGATTCTTCTCTAAAATGCATCTTCTGAAATATTTTAATGGCAATTTTAACCATAACTTAAAAACACACAGAAACACAATTAAGCACCACATCCCTTCTACTTTGTGACTCTGAGACAGGTCTCCTCATGTGGCCCAGCAGGTCTCAAGCTCGGACTCATGGGCTCAGGGACCCTGCACCCCAAGCCCTGATAGCTGCCAGCCCTGGCGTGAGCTCCGCCCTCTCACTGTGCCCCAGGCCTTGGCAGCCCAGCACAAACCCAGCTGCTGCAAGGGAAGATGAACCCAAACCTTGGGTTAAAACTCTAGCTGTTCTATGTCCCATCACGTAAACTTCAATTTGTATTTAGCTGTTTGAGAAAAAGCATAAAACACTTCCCTGTAATGTGGAAGTCTTTGTTTTAATAGCTACAAGGAGTGATTTGTAACTGAGAGTGAAACATCTATTGTCAAAACTTCACTTAAAAGCTGGAAAGTGCTTGTCACAGGTTTATGACCCACCCGATGGTCACTACCACCCAGCTCCACCTGGGCTCTGCTGTAACCGACTCCGCAGACCACAGGAGCGAAGGGAAAAGGATTTCTCTGTGTTAGAACTCGATACATTAGCTCAGAAACTCAATTGGAAAGGCCTTACCTAAGTCATTGTTCTTCGTTATAGCATTCGCCGCCCTGGTCCGGGGTCCCTGCTGTGTAAACTGATAGCCAAACTTCAGGATATTTGTGTTTTCCTCAAGCATCTTTGCCATTTCTAACTCTACAGCTGTCCCCAACTGCTGCCTCTGGAAGAATCAGAAATGAAGAACAGTGTAAATACAGTACACCAAAATACTTTTCAGTGTCAGGACTAAGACCTGAAGGCATGGGCTAATTCTGTTATCTTTACATTTTCCCAATTCCACAACATACGTAAGAAATAAGATTTTAAAAGCTTATATGTATCATACAGACATCAAAAAGGCATTGACACCACGTGAGACACCAGCTCATACCCCAGGGACAAGTACAATGAAAAGGATGGATGAGCACCAGCATAGTGGTGTGAGCCCCGCAAGTCCCAATGACTCAGGAGGCTGAAGCAGGAAGACTGCTTGAGCCTAGGAGCTGAGACCAGTCTGGGCACCACAGTGAGACCCTGTCTCAAGAAAAGTTGACTAATACATGCTGCCAAGAATGTCTGGCCATTGGGACTTCTGGTAGGAATATAAAACAGTGCAGCTGCTATGGAAAACCATTTGGGAATTGTTGAAAAAGTTAAACATAAGAGTCACTGCACTGGCCAGCAATTCTACATACCCCTATGAAATAGAAATGTATGTTCACACAAGAACTAACATGTGAATGTCCATATCATTTTTATCGAATGTATATTTTTTTGTACCAGGGATCAAACTTGGGTACTTGCGCTTGCAAAGCAAGCAGCGGAACCACTAAGCTAAATCCCTGGCCCTATTGACTGTATTTTTGAGACAGAGTCATGCCATATAGTTCAGGCTCTAACTCACTGTGTAGCCCAGACTAGCCTCGAACTCACAGCAATCCTCCTGCCTCAGCCTCCTGAGTGCTAGGTTTACAAATGTGTGCCACCATGCTTGGCTCATATTATTGTTTTTTTTGTTTTTTCGGTACCAGGGATCGGACTCAGGACCTTGGGCTTGTGAGGCAGGTGGCAGAACTACTGAGCTAAATCCCTGGCCCCATATCACTGTTTTTAATAGGTGAAAGGTAGAAACCCTCCAAATGTAACAGAATATTATACAGCCATGCACAGGAACTGAGGACCACTACAGCACCCACGTGGATACACTATGGGAGTGATGGCAAACCTTTTAGAGACTGAGCGCTCAAACTGCAACCCAAAACCCACTTATTTATTGCAAAGCGCCAACACTGCAACAAAACCTGAATCCTGAGGGTTTAGCTTCAAAAAAGCAACTGTTATCCGATGCTCGGCTGTGGGGGTGACTTGGCTCGTGTGCCACAACTCTGCCACCACTGCACTAGGGCAAAGCAGCCGCATGGACCACATGCATTGCGTGACCCAGACACAGAGCACGGACAGGCAAATCCAGAGTGGGGCGGGTAAGCACGGCGACCCCTCGGGTGAGGAGAGCGCTCTGTGTGTGTGGCGACGGCGGATGGTGGATGGCGGCAGAGCTCTGAGTGCATTAGCACGTCCTCACTGCTTCACCTAGAAAGCCTACGGCATGGACGCAGTGGCACCTGGCCGAATCTTCAGATGTGATCCTCTTCTCCACCTTCAGAGTCAATAAAACCAACTCTGAAGGGCCGGGACACATTTCCCAGTGTTGTACAGAACTGAAGTTACTTCTCAAGCAAAGAACAAGAGGCCCTGGGATGGGAGCCAGTGCTGGCCCCAGGGGCATGCCCTGGACCTGGGCACCGGGAGCGCTGACAGGTGAAGGACACAGGAGCCTCGATGGGAACTGCACTGCAGAGCTCAGCGTGCTGGGGCGCGGAGTCAGTCCCAGTCAGCACCTGGCTGCTGCGGCATCCCTGCCACCGAGCTCTTAGAATGACAGGTGGGGTGGCCATGGACACTGGCACATGCCACACAGACACGGGTCCCTCTCAGTCCCGAAGCAGACCGCTGACCTGATTGTCGACCTTGAGCTCTGCCAGGGTCTCGTTATCCCTCAGGGCGTCGATCAGGGCCAGAACCCCCGCTCCTGTGATGAAGTTGGACTCCACATTTAAGCTCTTCAGAGTTCTGTTCACCTTCAGCATGTCTGCAAAAGCCTAGGAGTGGAAGGAACGCAGGACCTGAGCATCTGTGCCACACGCCGCTCGTGCCCTACATGGACGCACTGTTTACCGTAAGCGCTGCCGCATGCCTCTCTCCACACGCCGGGCCCAACACACGCCCACCTCCCAGAGCCGAGTCAGGCTCTAGGTTTGGCACCTATCGCCTCAGCCTCATGCTCCCTGCCCACTTCCTCCTCCTGGGCCCCTGCTTCGTCTCTGAGGGCACTGGTCTCATCAGCGCCTCTTCAGAGACCCCGCTTCAGGGTCAGCGTGAAGCTGAGGTGAGGGGAAATCACTCTCCAAGGCTGTCCAGGAGGGAGCGCCCCGGGCAGGAGACCACAGACAACCACGGAGAGAGCACCAGCCGAGGAGCAGAGCTCCTCAGGGTGGCGTCGTCAACCCCTTCCCTGGCCCTCAGCAGGGGACGGGGTCGGTGCTGGGCGTTCTGCTCACCACGTGGACTGATGAGCAGCCGGAGTGAGGAGAGTGAGGAGAGTGAGAGAGGGGGAGAGGGGGAGAGGGAGAGAGAGGGGG